TTTTTTTTTTTTTTTTTTTTTTTTTCGACCGTTACGTATCAATATTAGTAAAGACTACGCTCGTACTTTACATACCGGTAGATACATAGTAAAACAAGCATATCGTAGAGTTCTACATAGTAAGATTCTTTCCATAAAGCGCGTTGCTTCCAAGACTTACGGAATAGCGGACTGATATATAACTATATATTTATAAAATTAATATAAATTGTTAATATTTTTAAGTATAAGTTTGCATATTTATATGTACTCGATAAAGAGATTGATATAGCTACCAAGTAATAAATTTAATCCTTGATTTACATGATTTAGGAAAAGTACATCGATTCTGCTTAGTAAGTTTGACAAAATGCGGAAGGACTTCATGCGATAGGTTTTCAATTTGAATTTTAGTATATAAATTCAGACATATAATTTATATAATATCGCTATCTATCGCTATTAGGCAATTTGGAATTTATAAACTACTACTTATGAGTAAAGCTTGAAAGACTGTTTTATGTAAATATAAAAATGATATGTAATAAATCTGAAAGTAAACTACTGAGTTTGTGGATAATCAAAAATTTCTCAGTTCGTATGACACATGGAACTAGCTTATCGTATATAGCCAATATAAAAATTTACTCCGTATCTTAAAAGCAATGCGCCCAACAATCCGGTACAACACACGAACATTAAGTTGTATTGCCTCAAATGCAATTGTGAGACTTTTGCTATAGATTTAGTCTTTATTCACAATGTCAACATAAAACAAAGATTATAATCAGTAATTGAAAATCTACGGTTCCTTGCTAAATAAATATACTTAGATCTTTTCGTTCCGGCTAGTGTTACAATCCCGATAAATCCTAGCTAATACACGTAGATATTAATTTTATGCAGATATTCTTTATAGACTTATTTTTTTTCATCCTCCACGTTTGTCCCTTTCATGCACGTGTACATGCCCATTTTCTCATGTTTGCAGTCAGTACGTGTTGCACCACAGGAAAAGCTCGATACATCGAAACAACGAAAGAAAGAATCTTTCAAACCGTTCAGGTGCATGTAAGTCAAACATATATAATAAATCATTATTTACACTGCGTGTCGGAGCTTAACGAATGTCCATTGATTACATCTAATATCAAATTTGGGGATTTTAATATTCCCCATCGAATGTTGACCAAAAAATGCATTGCAAGTTGAAACATATGTTACTTAAAAGCATTAAGATTTTACAAATAATTAAATTCCGTAGCAGCTGTGCAAACGTTATGCCTAAGTTATGCCTTTGAATATTTACCATATACTGTAACGTGGATACAGTAATATTATAATATTTTCTGTCTTTCGCTGTGATATTAATTACCTACAATTCTTGTACACGATCTTATATGTATGGGTGCAACGCCAGTGCCCTACCGCGCAAACCTCTCTGGCCTCCAACTCCTCCTTTTGGTATTACGTATCCTCCGGCATGTCTAGCTGTTCCTTCCTCCTCCAAATTGCCATTGCTTTCGATTAAATCGCGTAGCGGCCAACAAGCTAAGTGACGTGATTTTCCGTGACGCGCTAAGACATGATATCCTTGTCTAAAATACACATAGTATGGCATGAGAATGTTTACTTTGGATTAAAACGTAAAATTTATAAGAATATATGACATACCTGGATGAAATTAAACCCACAAGTAGGGCCCAATGGGCTTTATGGCCTTTCTTTAAGCATGGAGCATGATTGAAATCAGAATCATATGGAATTAATACCATTGCACCATGAGCCAAAGCATGTGTCAATGTATCTGGGCATTGTTGTAAATCTACTAAGATATCAGGTCTATGGTCTGGTAAATATTCAGCTGCTAATGTGCCCATAAAATCAACACTGTACATTTCTCCATGTTGAGTGAAACCTCTTACACGAGCTTCAGCTAGGAGTTGGCTCACAGAAACTGGTTTTGTGTATTCTTGAGATGCCATAGCAAGTGCAACCAAGCCACACCTATTAAATAATAATGTCATTATTATTATTACTATTTGCATATGTGTGTTGCATCTACAAATAAATTAAAAATATATGTAAATTAAAAATGTGAAACTCACTGTGGTCCATCTTGCAAAATTGGTTCAACTTGACAAAAATATGTAACTTCTGCATCCTTCAATTCAATTCGAGATATCAGCTTTTCAATTTCTGCCTCTGCAGATGTAAGGGTAATTTTGGCCCAAGGAGGCAGGGAGTCTGCATCGCTCACTTCAGTTTTTTCACACATAGGTGCCTCTGGCAAACTTGAGAGAGGTGGAGGCGGTGCTGGCATTTTTCAGTAATAAATATGATACGAACAACTACTTTGTTCGATTAACAAATACCTGGTCGCACGTTACAATGAAATGATGGTAGTTTCCACAGCTATGAAATCATGCACCTACACTTTAGTATTTTCAGTTTGAAAATTGCCATTTCTTAGAGGTATTCTCTTTGCTCACTGGAAAGTTGCATAATGTTTCTTATTCATTGTAAATGCAACCCTATTAGAGGTACTTGAAAAGGTCCAAGCTGAAATATCAAGGAGAAAACAGCATGCGATTTGTAACATACAATGAAAATCATAAATAGCAATTAATCAACAAAGAAATCAAGATAAGATATGTTTAATATTTTAAAATAGTAAAACTTTACATTACAATAAAATAATATATCAATAGTATAATATGTTTATTGTAACAAAACACTTTTTTGTTGTCACTTTACTACGAAAGAAATGCAACGCGACGAAAGCAAGAAACGAAAGTACACAAACACTGCATTATTACAATTGCTTTTATCCATTAGTCATTTAACCTTGAGAAATATGTTGCTATACGGTATCTGTCATAACTCGGTAAACGTGAATTGCAAAAATTTTGAAGAATATCATCAAGAGAAATCGTTCTTGCAAAATCAATTGCGACTCACGATAACTGACAGTAATACTTTACTTCGTTGTGAAATATATTTAATATTTCTTATGGGCTCTAGAACGAGAACGTATTCGCTGCAGAAATTCTAATGGCAGCACATCGCACGATCGACATTGGACAAAATAGCAATTACGATTATATACGTGTCAAATGATGATTACCGATTCAATGTAATACGATTGTTGTACGCGGAAGATGTAATTTAGATCAGATAATCAATTAGACGATCAGTATTTGTTTACCGTACCTAAAATGCAAGAAAATCGCTGCAGCACGATTTTGACGTTTGCACGTCCCCCCTATTCACCCTGTGACTCATGCACATACATTATGTAATTCTTCGGTAGAAATTAGAATTAACACTCAAGTGCATTGACGTGACGATATTAAGAGTACGTTCGGATGCACGACGATTCTCGAACGAACGACTATTACTCCCTCAATACGACTGGAATTTAATCCTTTCTGAGAGCGCTCTCAGGCTGGCATAGCGCACTATGCCTTATTCGCAGGCGTCTGTCACGATATACAGTCTGATAAGAAATTTCTCGTAGGTGCTGCAGTTCCGAAGATGATTCACCAGTTTAGGCAAGTGCATTGTTTGCAAGAACCCTAGCCTCGGGAAATATATTGTTTATCTCTTTTCACTCCGATTCGAACTGAACAGGTGCGGGGATTTCGGTACGTATCGCATGAGACCTTACTCCCATACTGCTGACATAGATAAAGACCTTCATGCAGTTCTGATAGTACTATGAAAGTTGATTGGCTAAGACGTTTCGCATGAGCCAATCGTTACCCAGTACCGATAACACAGAATAGTAGGATGCATCGAAATGCTGCATACACATTGAACATAAGACGATACCATGCGGAAGAATCCAAAATTAAAGATTTGAACTAAAATTTATACGTAATATTTAAAATTTTTATGGGTTTAAATATAATTATAAATTTAATAAATTTTCCGATTAAATAGTAATGTTTAAGTTGGAGTTATTTATTAATTATACTTTATTTTACAGAGTATCGTGACGATTGACATGCGTAGCGGAAAAGATGGCTCCGATTGACCTGAATTTTTTAATTCCACAAAATTTTATTCAGTAAGTATTTTACAAAATTGTAAGTTTATATTACATCTTTTGTTCTGAGTAGTAATTTAAATATCGTATATATCTTATTTTTATAATGTTTTTATTAAAATAAAATTATTCAATGTTATCATAATTCATATTAATATACGATTTAATAAGTGTACACTAATAAGATAATTTTTTCTTTTCTCAGATAACAGTTCTTCTTTCCACTTTCTGTAGAAAATATAGTCTTTGGAGCATTTTAGAAGGTAAATGATAATGTATTAATATTATGCTGAAGTTTTGTCACATGTGAATTTTATTTAATTTAGTTTAACAGCTTAAGTGTTTTTTAAAACATTAATTCGGAATAAGTTTATACAAGTTTGTAGATAAAATGATATTCATGTAAAATGAAAATTTATCATTTAGAGTAAAAGATGATTTCTTCTTTTTGCACATTTTAATTCTAAGAAATTTTTGGCTAAACATTTTGAAAATATGAGAATAAGGAGATAAACAAAGGAATTAGGTGTACTTCAAATTATTATAATATTATCATTATATTTATGTACAAATGAAGATTATAAATCATACAGTTAATTGCTTCTATATTCATTATATAAAAATAATTAGCTTCTATAATATTAAAAGTAGTAGTAAATTAATTGTTGCACCTCCAATTCAATTTATAAACTCAAAACAACTACTGGCTCCATATTTTAAAATAATCAAATGACAAATTTTTAGTTTAGTTGTATTTAAGTAGGAATTTGTGATAGAATTTAGGACATACAATGGAGGTACATTGACTATTCTTTTTCTTATGAAAATGTTTTTTATGCACAATAAAAATTCTACATCTATATAATAGAACATCTTTTTCATTAAATACCTTATCTGCATTCTGTATGTTTACAAGATTGACTTCACATAAAAATACTTCTCTTATTGTACATAATTATGTGACATACCTAACAAAACATAAACATAGATATTAGCTGCAGAATAATATATTACACCTTTTTACATTAGAGGTACGAATTGGATAGATTGACTTATTTTATTAAATTAAGTAACGATTTTATATAAAAATATATAGGGCGACATAAATAATGAAGTATTCACAAATTATCATACGAAATAGGCATTGTACAAAACGAATCGCTTTAAATAGTCGTGATATCAAAGTGAGGACGTAGAAATAAATAATAAATAGATTTTAGATTTAATATCGCTCGAAGTCATATACACACTGCACTATAACTGTTAGCGTATAAAATAAATAGTTATTCGAAATTTTATAATCTTTTTCAAGGCACCACATTGTAGTCGTTGCAAAAATCGTCGCAAAAGAGCTACATCGTCGTAATTACTCCTAAATTAGAAGTTATTCCTAACAGTATTACGTAAACGTAATCTGTAAACCTTCGGTTATCTAAATACCCAAAAGGGTACAAATGATTTAATAAATGTATATTTTATTCATGCCGAAAAAAGTCATGTGTTATTGTCTGTGAAAATCGCAAACTACATATTATACGTATAATACTATTCGTATCTTCTAAAAGAGAAAACGTCCTGATATATATTTCTGACGAATAAACATTTCCAAAAATATATTGCTACTTATACGTTTGTTTCGCATAACGGACTTTACAAGAAGTTATTAGGAAAAATTTTATAGACGTTCGAAACTCTTACATTTTTCAACCTTCGTCGTATTATTAACAATTATAGAACAGACGTTGAAATTTTTCTAGTTCGTAAAATAATATCCTTATAGTTTCATGGAAACTGTCGTATACTTCAGAGCGTAGTAAAGCATTTTCTTTGACGTGCTCCTAAGTCGATTCGTTAAAAATATCGTTTTATTTATCCCAATAAATTATCACACATTCAATACGATAAAATAAAATCACGAATAATCCATTCGTACGTATGGCCCGTATTGAATGTATGATACAAATATAAATGCATCTTTGAGAACATTTATATACAACGTATCACTGCGCGTATCGATTCAGTATTTCTGAGTCATAATACTTTTGTTCTTTAATTCAAAGAAGACAAGCACGTTGTGTCATTAACGATGCGAGAGTACCTGGTAAACTCTGATCATTGGCTTTTCGCGTGGTTCGAAATTTGTCCGCAATATACTATTAACATAAGGGCAGTAAATAAATTCTTTATATTTAATGTACAAAAGATTAAGAGAGCTGAGACATGTCAGGTTTAAGTAAAAACTTTACGCGAACTTATCTCGAATAAAGCCATTGCTATTTAAACTTTGGGTACTCGCACATCGCTATACGTTTTACTAAAAGAGATAGAAGAAAAGAAACTATAAATCTATCCTAGTCAGCCTTCTGTATGTTCCCGCTTTGCATGGTATTTGAGCAGTAGCTGCCGGTCTTCCCGGTACTTATTTTTAATGTTTATTTGGGTTAGAGTCTGAATCCGGTTCAGAACCGGAACCGGAAGACTCCCCAGCATTAACGTTCGCACTGCAGCGCGAGCTCCTTCGGCTACTGGAAGTCGTGTGCCTGCATTTTTCGCTACGATCCATTGTACCTACAATAATTTCACATAGAAATCAGTATCTGCTAGACCATCATCCTTCAGTTATACTAGTTACTTAGCGTGTTACATTGAGAGTAATATAATCACAAGAAACTTTTGGTCAAACATTACTATAGATACTCACTGGTTAACGGTGTATGAACTTCAACCTTTATGTTAGCCGTTGCAGTGACCTTAGTTGTGATATGAGACGTAGATGTCACAGGTGACATTCGACTAGATCCACTTGTATCTGATCCGCTACAGTTCTGTTAGTTAAAAACAAAAGCACACACGTTAATCATGCTTGATGGATTTAGAACATTGGTATTGGATGTGATATTGGGTATAAGTGGTAATAGAAAAATTTTAGATATAAGCAGTTAGAGAAATGAAAAGCAAATGTATGTTCAAAAGCACTCTCAATTCAAGTATGTGTGAAAGAAAATATCAACTGAAAAAGGAAATATTTCAAAACAGTTAATATCAATATTATAACATACCTGATTACCACAAGTTGATGTCGTTTCAACCTTCAACTCTGGCTGAACGATAATGCAAGATTCTTGTGTACTGTGCCACGAATTGGGCTCCTCGGTAATCGTTGTGAGAGAAGGTTCAGCGTGTAACCTAGCGTTATCAATTTTGTATGATCTCCTGGGAGGTGCAGGCGGCTTTGATCTTCTGACGATTGGCGAGGCAGGTGGAGTTGGTGTTGAAATACGATCCGGATGGTCATTGGGTATTACTTCTGGAGATGGTCCAATCAGAGACAGCAGGATAGGGAAAAAGAACAATCCATTCACTAAACCGATCCCAATAAGGCATAGTAACACCAAGAAAAAATATCGAACGATGAAATCAAACTCGGAGAAGGCTAACATCACGACTGCCAGCAAAGTTGTTAATGCTCCATGAATTACAGGTGCATACATGTGTTCCAATGCTAAACGAATCCTACGATCCCTGCTTCCAATACTCGTGATAAAGCTCTACAAAAATAAAAGTAAGCACATTGAATACATAGAAATATATAAAAAATAACGAACTTTATAAATTTAGCTTGCTCGTATTTATACTAACCAGGCAAATGTGCACCGTAAAATGCACGGCAATTCCAACACTGACAACCAATAAAACAGCCGGAACAGCGCTCAGTTTTATGTCGCAGAGACCCATAATTCCAAGGAGCTGTAGAACCACAGCAGCGAGAGAAGTGCCAACTAACAAGGCTGCCCAGAGATTTAGTAGCAGTATTCCAACGACAACGACACTGGCTGTTAAAGCAGCTAATAGTGCAATCCCCAAACAATTTCTTAGATCCATGTATTGTTCCCAAAAAAGAAACGGTATGCCAGATGGAAAATTCGGTAGACCTCGTTCTTCAAACTTTTTGCATAATTTTCTTACACTGCCAATTAACTCGGTAATTTCTTGCGTGTCTGTGAGTTTGTGCAGATAAAATGGCATCTGTGCATACGTCAGAGGCATACTTTTTGGAATCTTCAGCTCGTGATCATTGGTGTAAATCCACTGCCTTGGTTCCGGCCTCAGATTCGCTTGAGAAGCACCGTAAGCCAGGACGTCATTCGATACCCATGCACTCAGATAATTATAAAAGGCTCGCGGATTAATGATCCCCTCGGAATCGACTAGCCTGACTTGAGTGACTAACGACTTGTCGATGGGATTGTCTACGTGGCCAGTTTGCACCAACAGCTTGTAAGCTAGAATTGCCTCGTCGCTGGCGTTCTTGTACCACCTTTCCTGCGTGATGCAGCCATTACTATAATCTTTATCAAACGCATTTTGCAGCCCCTTCAACCAGTCTCTGAACAAACTCAGCCAGAACTCCGGCAAGCCACCATTGTCATTTTTAATCACGTTCTTTATCCTCATGAAGGCATCATGGTACTCGTACAGCAACCTCTGATTATTAGGATACTCGAATTCTCTCTGAGTAACAGCATACATATTATAGAATCCAAAGTGTTTCGCTTGAGCAGCCAGAAAAGCGTGTTCATTGGAGTTCTGTGGGACCAGATCGGTTAACTCTAACCCGTCGTTCACTTTTACAGCTTGCCAGACACTGCCGACCAGAACTGCGATCAGAATCATCATCCCGAAGACCTTGGTCGCGGGCCTGGTGACAAACGGAGCGTAATGCCTCGCAGCCAGTTGAGTCAATGAGAAACTGAGACAATCATCCTGACTGCACCCCGTTAGAGTATCCTCTTCGCTGCACTGCTTATCCAAGTCCACCTCGATATTCCCACCGACCCAGGACTCGTTTTGCACGTTTTGCGACGTCAAGATTTGCGTACAAGTTTCGCGACGTTCAGGTGGGATGGCCCTCGTTACCGTTTGCTTCGCTGTGCCGTTGCTCGCGCGATTATTGTACTTATTCCTGCCAGCATTCGACGGCAGGCAGCAGCAAAGTATGTCCGAGCGTCCTGAACGACGTCTCCTCAAGTCCAGGCTAACCATAGCTGGGAAGACTAGCAGCATCGCGGCCAAGTTGAAGAGTAACAATATACCAGCTTGCAAGCAGAACACTCTGAGCGCGGGGATAGGGATTATCGCCGCTGCGAAGAACGCCGACACGTTGCTGATTCCTGCCAGGAGGACAGACAGGCCGGTCCTTTTCAAAACTACCCCTGTCTGTTCCCCGCTGGGTACTTCGTTTACAGAGAGCTCAGCGTACGTGTGCGTCAATAGGAACATATCGTGAACACCGAGGCCCAGAGCTAAGAACGGCACGATCTGAGTGGTCGCAGCGTTGAAGGGGATCCCCAGGAGGGCGCAGAACCCCAAACCTGCAGCCACGGTCGCGCAGATTAGCATCACACCGGCTATACCCACGCCAGCTTGAGAGCGCACTGGATCCTTCCAGCGAAGAAGGACTATACCCGCGTACAGTATCTGGAAGAGAACAGTTATTCTTATGGTGTGGGTGTAAGTTATAGATAACTATAGTCTTTCCGAAGCTAACAAAAGATTTTTCTCTTTTCAGATGTCGAGCATAAATCTTCCTCTCACGAACGAAAGGTGCCGAAGGATCTTCAGGGTGAGTGTATTTGACCTCTCTTATATCTTTTTTCCGAATAAAATCCCAAGATTATCTGTTGCAGTTTCATAAACCTCGTAATTCCTGTTTGCACATCAGCCAAGGGGTTAAATCCAAATTGAAATTAAACTTCATTTAAACTGGACGAGTCTGATGATAAAATATTCTCTATCTACAAGAATATTGCAACGATAGAAACATTCTGGAATTTTGTATAACCTGGATGACATGCGATTTCTCTAATTTTAAGTTTCGAATTTACTTGTATAAATTGAAAATGGTATGTATTGAAAATAGCTTCCATGGTTACTGAGGTATTTCAATATACGTTATCTTATAAGGTACCTCATATAAAATGGGCTCAGTGCATACCATTCGACTGGTACAAAATTGCGTGAATATTTTATCAGCACTTAACTTGAGTAGATAAAGAGATTACAGATTTCTATTAAGCTCGCGAAATTCCTTTCGAGGCCTGACAGCTGATATGCAAACCAGGTTTGCAGATTACGAAGTAAAATAGGACCCTCGGAATTCCAAAGTAATGGTATGATCTTAATCATATTCGATTCGAAGATCCTTCAAACAGCCCTATTTAGGATCAGAATTCGGATTGCTATTCTGGACAACCAGCAAAGGAATTATATTTTTATCAAATTCCAGGTCTTCCTCTACGTCCTCCACGCAGATAATCTTATCTGACACGGTAAATCAGCTTGCACGTAGCAGATGCGTGCTAACCGTAATAGACCTAAGAAACGTTACTCAGCTCGTAGAATTCGTACTAACCATCAGTGCGCAGCCAATGGCGATTTTCATAACGGACACCTCGCTGTACTTGCCGAGTATGTCGTTCATGGTGGTCGTGCTGAACGCGTACAAATTGTACGGCGCCGATCCGTTCGCGTCCAGATGCTTCTTCACTTGATTGCTGAACGCTCGTTGCCATGTCTCCAGGACCTGGGACGCCTTTTCCTGCGACCAGTCGATGTGATGTACCTTATAGGCGCCGGCGAAGAAATCGTAAAGCTCTCGTTCTCCCATCAGCTGCACAACGGTCTGAAGCGCAGCTGCACGGGTCAAGTGACCGGTCTTATTGTGCTTGGCACCACCGACGAGCAGCTCCTCAGGCCAGTGCATATACTTCGCCGCGAAACCATAACAGCCACCCGTTAATTCGGCTCCTATGTCTGGTACCTGGCGAAACAGATTGCACCGTCTGATGAGTATCCTGTTTAAACGGTGGTTCATGCGTTTCAATATACCCCGTGTTTCAGGGAATAAGGATGCGAAGATAGTATTGAAGATGCAGTACTCGTGGAGAGATAGAGACAATGATAAAGAATGCTCGACCAATGGGGAAACAGAAATTAGCATGGTGACGGCTTAGAAAGTGATCCTACCTTCGATTTCGATAGTTTAAATCGATTTTAAATTTAAGAAAAAGGAGAAGAAATAAAAAAGAAATAGGAAAGATGGAGATGATGTTTAGAAGAAGTAAATGTGCCAAGTAAATATCAAATTCACGGCTTTTTCTTTGTCATAGATCATCATGATGTATCACCTACCATGATGTATCATCTTTCAGAGAAGATCAAGTATTTAAACGGACTTAAGTTTCTTAAGTGGGTATTTTTCAATTCTGTAATGACCCAGTGGTTTATCTCAACTTCAGACTTTTAATCTGATTCGCTTAAAATTAATTTCTGTGGATTTTTACAGATAGCGAAATCTGGTTTAATTATATCGTATACTGTAACAACCTCATCAGCTTTGATACTGTTATTGGAGGAACCATAACATTTGTTCACTTAATTGCCCAGGCGACAGTTGGTCCTTCGAAGAAGGCTTCGTATTAATTGATTTTACGGGGAATTTCAAGCGCATGATCGAGGAAGCGCAATATTTCAAAGGGAATACCACCTGCGACATTATTCCCCTGCGAGTCTCATTAAATGGACACTAATGAATTGTGAGACTATCACAATGCATTCGTTACAGAGGGATAAGCCCCACCACGGTTCATCCTGTCCACGTTATTTATCTTGGCATGATATAGGGAACCATTGGACAACGTCCAAGCAACTAAACGGCGATCGTTTAAAGTCCTCACTGGTATGCTCCTTTTATAGGTCCCCATAAAATCTCGCTGTGAGGTCCGCAATACCCTAGGCCATCCTCTGTCGTCTCACTTACGATCGCGTTTTTATCATTTCCTGGCCCACGAAAGGAACGCCCATTCGATACCCTTTTTCCATTCGGAATCATTCTTTCGACAGGCAAAAGAATTCCTAACGTGACTCTCTGCCGCTTCTAGTCTCGTTCACCATGCGGAACTATTCGTGGATACTTTGATACGTCGATCCATCAAAATGGAGTATGGAATGAGGATTCGTTTATGTATCGAAGGTAATCCAGGTCCGAGGGAATTTTAAATTATGTCAGAAAATTTTTGGGAATCTCTATTAACGAAAAGACAAATTGGGAATAATTTATATAGAAAAGAATTTCGTGTTATTCTTTTTCTTTTTGGAAGTGAGTAAAATAAATTTTTGGAAATCTCTATTAGCGAGAAGACAAATTGGGAATAATTTATATAGAAAAGAATTTCGTGTTATTTTCTTTTTTATTTTTGTTTTGGAAATGAGTAAAATAAATGTTTGAGAATCTCTATTAATGAGAAGACAAATAAGGAATAATTCATATAGAAAAGAATTTCGTGTTATTCTTTTTCTTTTTTTTTTCTTTTTTTTTGGAAATAAGGAAAATAAATTTTTGGGAATTCCTATTAACGAGAAGACAAATTGGGAATGATTTATATAGAAAAGAATGTTGTGTTGCTTCCTTTTTTCTGGAAATGGGTAAAATAAATTTTTGGGAATTCCTATTAACGAGAAGACAAATTGGGAATAATTTATATAGCAAAGAATTTCGTGTTGCTTCCTTTTCTCTGAAAATGGATAAAATAAATTTCTACCAATCTCTATTGAAGTTTCGAGAAGATAAATTGATAATAGTTTTCATAGAAAGGAGTTTCATATATCTCTTATTATCGAATTTTTATTTCCCTTTATTTAGTAAAAATTTGGGTATACTATCTTCCTAGAAAACTCGTGCAAAAATAAAAGAAAGGGTAACGAATCGAAATCGCTTAAATTCTAGGAATGTCTCGTATTAGTCGTACCAATTAGAGATTCCCGTGTATCCGAGTAACTTAAGAAAGTAAATAATGCAGTGGGAATGAAAGAAATATCGTGTGCTTGATATCGCGGGGTGAATGAACTTGGCAAATGCCGGGTGTGAATGAACTTAACGCGATAGGTAAACACGTGTGTTTGGGACAGTACACGTGAGATCAAGTGTGAATGGGTTCTATGAATGCACGTGGAGTTTTGAGCACAAGACACGCGATACGAGTATGCTGTGCATGTTTGATAATTCGAGCTGTGCAACCAAACAACCGAGTACTATAGCGTGTTAATTAATTTTAACAATCAGCTTCAGCATCTCGACCAAGGTCATCTCGATCAACTCCGTATCACTGAACCCTGAAAATCAGGAAAATCATCTCAAACCTAAATCATCTTCCTCAATTTTCAAACGAACTTTCTCATCATGAAATTTCCATTTTTCTTTCAGGAGCTGATGACACGATGAGGAATGATACTGATCGCCACAGACAAATCATAAATCGTCGTAAACGACTGTCAAAATTGCTCACCAACCACGTGTGTAAGTATTGGCTGATAATTATCAATTAATTACCTCACAGCCAAGAAATTTCGAGTTCGTGGAAAATGGCGCCTAGAAGGGAGATTGCAACGACGAAAAACGAAGCCGCAAAAACATGAGGCATCGAGTAAGTCGCATACTAACGAGTCAGTATTAATTACCAGCAATTAATTAGTCGGTTATCGCACATTAAGCAAACGACTGAATCGCGAAGAATTAGCCATTGCTCCTTATTTCTTCGATTGCGAATCCACGATTAGGGTGTGTAACTTTACGGATTTCTCACTGATTTCGACCTGAATGTTGGATCTTAAGAACAGGTATCATTCTATGATGAAATTCAATTTTAAAAAAGATCTTTCAATGCGTGAATTTTTGTAAGAAAAATATTTACTAGTTTAGTGGAAATTTTTATCGATTGGTCTTTGATGTATAGCAGATATCTGTCTGGTAGTTCTTTACTGTAGGATTTTACAATTTTTATTATTTAAATATTCTTCTATCGTAGTATGTTTATAATTGTATTTTTACAATTACAATTGAATATTTTTCCTGCTAGAAGTGTTTAGATGGTATCGAGATGGTGATTGAATAAGATTAAGACTGTATAGGGTAGTGATCTATGGTTTCATTTTAATTTCTGAAATTTTTTAAATCATTTTTATTCAGTGTTTTTGAGCTCTTGAATTATATTTACCTCGGACAGTCATCTTTACCAATTTTCTTACACTCACAATTAGTTCTTTCTAGTTCATTGCTCATCATTTCACAGTAGTCTTATTATTATTCTATTAGGTTCCAATATTAATGCATCTTAGATAGTGCAAAATATATATATCTTGATTTATTAGAAACAAAAAGATAAAGAAACTACAAGGGTAATTCTTCTTAGTCCTAACTCTAGCCCACACGCAGTCTAAGTAGATATTCAACGACCCCATAAAATACAGCATGCAATCGTAAACTTGATAGACCAATCGGCTTCCATTACAACCTCGACATTGTATCTCAATTGAACAAAACAATCCTACAAAGAATCATCGGGTAACCCAAGAATCTCGTACCAAACAGTCTAACATAGAACTTCATCTATAGTTACTCGCAATCATCATCATAGACCAAGAACTACTCACTTGGTGAACACAATCCTATAAACCTCTGGTAACAGAAGAGTCAAAAATAATTTAACACGTGCGACGATAAAACGTAGATAAGTCTTCGAAAACAAGTATCAATTAACCCCAAAATTTCAAGTCATACTAATGTCAATCATGTCAATCACATCGATACAAAATTTCATTTATAGTCACTTACAACTCCTCATCAATATACACCAAGAGTTCGTCACTTGGTGACCACAATCTGTTAGAACTTCGACAACGAAGGGGCCAAAAATAATTTAACGAGTGCAACGATGAAACGCTCATAATTCCCCTCAAAATAGTATTAACCACTTGCGCTACGATTTAACTTTCGGTTGCCGTGCCACGCTCTACAATATAACATGCGATAAGGCGTTACATCGACGTGGTATACACGTCGCTGGCGGCTTTGGAACAAAAGCATCTCGACGTGCGTGGCACGTCTTTATAGCGCAAGTGGTCGATTAACCTAAAAATTTCAAGTCATACTAATGTCAATCACACTGATACAAAATTTCACCTATAGTCACCTACAACTCCTCATATTAGCATAGACCAAGAATTCGTCACATAGTGGACACAATTCCATAGACCTCTGGCATCAAAAGAATCAAAAATAATTTAACCCTCATAATTCCCCCCAAAATAGTAGCAATAAGCCTAAAAATTTCAAGGTATCAAAATTTCGTGATGTCAAAACCATACCGATACAGTCGCCACTAAAACTAACGCGAAACTTCGTCTACAGTCACCTACTGCAATCACCGTCAGCGTAGTCGAAGAACTCGTCACTCGGTGAACAGAGTCGTATAGAATTTCGGTAACGAAGGGGTTGAACGCGATCCGACACTCGCGACGACCAAATATCCGTCTTCCGGTCGCTTACGCAACGCGAAGAAGAGGTCGTGGACCTCGCGACGCGACACCCGCGCACCAGCACAGGGGGCGCAGGTAACACTAGAGCCCACCCACGGCGATTATCGCGTGTCTCGAGTATCGATCCCAGACGCCGTGATCCGTCACGATATCTTGTTCGCCGATTTTTCGAAAACCGCCCCGTGAACCACGATACGGGACAATTTGTTCGCCGTGCACGCGCGCGCCGCGGGCAGATTGCGATCATGATGGGTGATTCTGATCGAATTGCACGCGCGATATCGTGTTCGATGGTTCGCCGTTTCTTGCGAATCTGCAAATGGATTTGGTTTCACCATCGCTACGGGGTACTATGGCGTGCAGAAGTAAGTACTTATAATTGTAACCTCGTCCCGAGAATATATACTAATATATTTTTCTCTCCTTTTTCGTGATACTTAAAATTGG